TGATCATGGAGCAGGTCGGGGCGGTTTTGCTTTTACTGATAACCATGCACTCTGTTTTGTTGATGTTAATGTGCAAGCCTTTCACTTTTAAAAACCAGTTTGAAGACGATTGTTTGCAGTTGTTCCATTGAATCTGCTATAAGAGCTCTATCATCATATCTTTCATCAGCATATCTTTCATCGTTAATATTCACTCCTCCGAAGGATATTCCAAGTAGATCTTCTATCTTTCTCATGATGATCTCATTATAGTGATTGTACAGGTCTAGAAAGAATACACAGCCTTGCCTAACACACATACAACCACACACACACACAACCACACACAACCACACACACACGCACACAGCCACACACTCGTACTCACTGGCATAATGTTTTAATAAAATTTCTTGTAGACTTCAATCGTTTCAACATCCCTAGTGACAATTATTAATTACAAAAAGTTAATATGAATGCAATACAAATTAATTTACTTAATTAATTATTTAATTAATTTATTAATTAATTGAAGAAATATTATTTAAAATTCTTTAATAACTTTTATTAGATTAGAAGCTTTACAGGAACTAGCAAGCCCCAATATTACGAAGCAGCTATGCGATTATATGTGAGTGATTTTTTAAATAATTACTACTACTACTATTACTACTACTTCTACTACTACTACTCTTACTGCTGAAAATGGTTTGTGTTATCTCATCTATCCATCCATCAAACCATCTTTTCGCTCATTCATTCATTCATCCATTCATTCATTCATTTATTCATTCATTTATTCATTCATTTATTCATTCATTCATTCATTCATCCATCCATTCAATCGTTCGTTCGTTCGTTCATTATTGAAATATAAAAAGCAATAAACATTAAAACATTAATTTATTTCTAGGACCAATTCGTAAAGCAAAATCTAGAGAAGGTATAATAATAATAATAATAATTAAAACTCTTTTATTATCAATAAATCAATAGGGGAAATGAAATAAAAAAAAAATAGAATTTCATTGTACAGTATAATAAGAAACCGCAGATGCTCATTATCTAGGATAATAATGATAATAAAAATAATAATAAAAATAATAATAATAGCGCTGCTGATGATGATGATGATAAGGTTGAAAGTATTGATGATGATGATGGTGGTGGTGCGTTTAATTATGATAATGATTCGTCGTCGTTTTTCTTCTCATAATCAGTCAATCAGTATTCTCTTGCTACTGAGGAGCTTTTACGTAAGGGATCTGCAATGCGATTTTATGTGGTAGTAAAGTATTAGTAGTAGTTTTTGTCGCTGTAGTAGTAGCTGTAGTAGTAGTAGTAGTAGTAGTAGTAGTAGTAGTAGTAGTAGTAGTAGTAGTAGTAGCTGTAGTAGTAGTAGTTTTAGTAGTAGTAGTAGTTGTTGTTGTTATAGCAGTAGTTGTTGTAGTAGTAGTTGTTGTAGTAGTAATAGCAGTAGTTGTAGTAGTAGTAGTAGTTGTAGTAGTAGCAGTGGTAGCAGTTGTAATATTATTACTGTTCGTATTAATTTTATTACAATCTACAAGATTGAGTTTTTTAATATTATTTTAGAAAAACACCATTGTGAAAACAGAAATAGTAAGACCTTATAACAACCAATCAATCGATCAGTCTATCTTTCATTCATTCACTCACCCATTCATTTATTCATTCACTCATTCATTCATTCACTCATTCATTCATTTCAACATTCATCCACAAATTATTTCGTTTTTTCGGTACAAATTCAGCCCTTCGTTCGTTAGCCCAATGATTTATGTTACAAAATAATAAGAATAATTAATAATCCATGATAATAATAATTTTTTAATTCTCCTAAATTTTTCCTAGCCTAGAATTGACATCAACGAATTTGTGATAAGATTTCAGGTTAAATGGATATATAAATATTTTTTGCAATAGAACTTATTGCTACTAGTGGCACTCCTTCTACTCCTCTATTTCCAACTACTGTTACTACTACTACTACAGCTACTACTGCTACTACTACTACTATTACTGCTGCTGCTACTACCACTAAAATTGATCTAATATTCTTTTAGTATGAAGTACATAAAGCTTTAATAGCAGTATTATTATTACTATTATTGTTGTTGTTGTTATTTTTATTATTATTTTTATTATTATAGTTTTTATTATTATTGTTATTTTCTAGGAAGAGATGAAAAAAATGAACGAAAATGAATCGGTATTGAAACTAATATTTGCATCCTGTTTTGTATTCATGTATGTATGTATGTGTGTATGTATGTATGTATGTATGCATGTATGTATGTGTGTATGTGTGTATGTATGTATGTATGTATGCATGTATGTATGTATGTATGTATGCATGTATGTATGTATGTATGTATGTATGTACACTCAACAAACACACACATACAAACAAACACACATGCACACACACACACAAACTAACTCACACAAACACACACATACATACAAACACAAATACACACACACATACCCACAAAAACACACATACACAAACGTTATTCGCAGTACGGCAAGCTTGACAAGGCTTTTGTGAGTTGATATATTGTTGAAAAAGAAAAATTATATGATCAATAAATAAATAAATTAATAAATGATTAAATTTTCATAATAGTTTATGTTCGTCCACATATCAATACATCTATCCAATCATTCATGATGATACATCGTGATACATGATACATGATACTCAGTTGCCGAATAGTTTCAAGGACATCATATAATCAAAAATCAAAAAGATCATACCAAAGAACTTGCCACTAAGCCTGAAGTTTTATCAATTTATCAAATTAATTCATATACTCGAGCCATATTTGCATTCAAGTTTATGAAAAAAACAGTTTCTTTCCTTCACATTTCTCAGCAACTTTCAAATATTCAAGCCCAATTAAATCGGAGACAACTTTTACATTACTTCAAACCCAATTAAATTAGCTACCACTTCAGAGACAACTTCTACATTACACTTAACATTCCTTTTTACATTAGAACGTCTAGATTGTGGTATGTGTGCGTGTGTGTGTGTCCGTTTGTTCGTCTACTTTCATGTATCTAGAGCAAACAATATATATCGTTTCATTTCGTTTCGTTTAGAATCAGCTCCTAGAACATCAGAAGATAAAAATCATAGAAATATTCGTAAGAAATATACTCCATTTATAATTTTTATTCTATTCTTTTATATCTTACATTCATTCATTCATTCATTCATTTTTATAATTATTCATACATTCATTAGATTCGTTCGTTCATTCATTCGTTAATAAGACTTTAAACAATTAACTTTTTCAATGTACATCATTCTGATCATTCATTCATCTATCTATCCGTTCATCTATCCATTGTTTTATCTATTCAACCATCTGTTTATCTATCCATACATTCATCCATCCATCCATTCATCCCTCCATTCATCCCTTCATCCATCCATCCACTAATAATAACAGACGCTGATTGACGAGAAATCGAACTATACATCTAAAATCTTTGACGGGGTTGGTAGGATTTTTTTATTCATTTATTCATTCATTCGTTAATTTATTCATTCATTCATCTATTTATTCATTCATTCATCCATTCATTCAATCATTCGATTAGGATAACATAAAGCGTATCCTAAAAATCTTGGTTGGTTTTTGGAAATGTTATTATTATTATGAATGAATGAATGTATAAATGAATTAATTAAATAATAAATTAATGAATTAATAAAAAACATTAACATTATTAATAAGAAAATTGATATGAATGACAAAACTTTTTTAAAATTGTAGACATCAATCGCCGGAGATCAGAACATTGATTGGTTAAACACAGTGAGTGAGTGAATGAATGAATGACTAATGAATGAATGAACGAACGAATGAATAAATGAATGAATGAGTGAAAAAGTGAATAAATTTTGTTTATGTCTCATTTTTCCAGGAGCTAGTTTTGGAACGAGTCTTACAAATTATGCACGTAAGTTGGCTTCGATGGCATTACATAGACTCTCCATCTTGATCTCTTTCTTTTTCTCCTTTCTTTCTTTCTTTCTTTCTTTCTTTCTTTCTTTCTTTCATTCTGTCTCTTTTTTTCTATTTCTCACTCTCTCTTTTTTTCTCTATCTCTATATAGAAATTGTTTTTACAAAAATTTCAAAAAATAAAATCACAACAACAGACGGAATGGAATGTTCGAATTGGACTCCAGGACTTCATTTCCGTTAGCATATTATCATCATTATTTATTATTATTATTATTATTATTATTATTTATTATTATAATTAATTCAGTAAGATATCATACCATTATCTTCAAGATCTTGCCAACAATTATTCCAAGGTCCCTTTCTTCTGATGAAAACTTTAGGAGTCTTTCTCCAGATTTTAATATATTTTGAATGTTTTTTAGCGTCATCATTTCTATCACAATCATCATCAACTTTGTCTTCATCATCATCATCTTCATCATCTTCATCATCGTCGTCATCATCTACGTCATCATCTTCTTTTATTCAGGCCATAAAAACGATTGGATATATTTTCAAAGTCAGTTAAATTAACGGAAATAATTGGTTTAATAACTTTATTTAATAATTTTAATTGATTTAATAACTTCATTCATTGTTCTAATTATCGTAGTAGCAGTATTAGTTGTAGTAATAACAGTTAGTAGTAGTAGTAGTAGCAGCAGTAGTAGTAGTAGTAGCAGCGTTAGCGTTAGCGTTATTAATATATTCAAAATGCATTTCTACTTTCTACCAGTACGAACAAACAGGTATGAGAAAAATAATAAAAATGTTAACAACAACAATAATAATTATCATTATTTTGTCATATTATCATTATCATTATTATTATTATTATTATTATTATTATTATTATTATTACGAATCCTTTTAACGTCTGCCAGATACATTGACAACAGCAAACACACAGTGCACATGAATTTAGGTGAAACAAAGCATCACACACACACACACACACACACACACACTGCACGCGATGAGTGTGGCTGTCTGCGAAATCGAATCCGGTTCCTGCGACAGCGGTGCCAGGCACTCTACCGCTACGCCATCGCGTCGGCCGGTGATGCGAACAAAATTTTTTTTAACTCGTCGAAATTAGAAAAATCAAATGATAAATAATAATAATAGTAATAATAACAATAAAACAAATGTAACTCGTTCAGGCCCTTCTAACAACCCACCAACTCCTCAAAGCCCAATCAACCCAACAAGTCCTCCAAGTCTTATCAACCTACCGGGCCCACAAAACCCCCCAAACCCACCAAGCCCTTCAAGACCCATCAATCCACCAAGTCCTATCAACCCAGTTAGTCCTCCAAGTTCTATCAACCCGCCGGGCCCTCAAAATCCGGTAATACCATTTTTGTAATTTTTTTATTTTATGCAGATTATCGTTATTTTATTTATTATTGTTATTATTATTATTATTATTATTATAGGCCATTCCTTATCCAGACATTCCAGTAATTTATCAAAACTGCTGTTTTTGTTATTAGTATAATAATAATTGTTATTATTATTATTATTACAATTGTTGTTGTTATTATTATTTTTATTATTTTGAACAAATTTGAATTTTTTTTATCAATTCCAGAGACAAGAGGAACAGAAACAAGTAAGCTTAACTCTTTTTAATTCATTCGTTCGTTCATTCATTCATTCATTCATGCCATCATTCATTATTTCATTCATTATTTCATTCATTATTTCATTCATTATTTCATTCATTCATTCTATCATTCATTCATTCCCATTTTAAATGTATATTACCTAAAGAGATTAAAAAAAAATAATTTTTTACCTCTAGCATATGGTTAGTTTCAGTAAAATTTTTTCAACACACTCTCTCACACACACATACACACACACACACTCACACACACTCACACGCGCACACACACACACACACACGTGTAAATTTTCTCTCGAGAATTAGAAGTTAACATTCGCTCGAATCTCTGCGACCAACCGACTTAATCTAACAATCGAACAAGACTGCGAGCAGCGACTGCTCCATCTCTCTCTCTCTCTCTCTCTCTCTCTCTCTTTCTCTCTCTCTCTCTCTCGAGAATTAAAAGTTAAAAAGAATGTAGTTCAAGAAACGAACTACAAACATATTAACGCCAAACATTCGGTAGAATTTATAGAATATTGTATGTATATATATATATATATACTTACATATACATAATTATATTTTATATTTTATATATAAATAGTTTGAGACGAGGCCTTCGTTGAAGCATATTTCATTAAATTTGTATGCCCACTCTGTGTTCAAAAGTTTTTTGATAAGAACTTCAACACCGCCTAGTTTTTTGAATTCGTATTTATTCAAAACATCCATGAAATTTGCTGTATGTATATATGTATGTATGCATATATATATATATATATAGAACCCTATTTCTTTTTTCAAAATTCAGGCAAATAAAACTATGCCAGTGGTAAATAGATAATAATATTTAAAAAAATTTTTTTTTCCATTCATTTATTTATCTATTCATTAATTCATTCTTTCGTTCGTCTATTCGTTTTTTCATTCATTCATCAATTATTTGGCTTTCTCTCAATCAATCAATCGATCAATCAATCATTCAATCACTCAATCATTCAATCATTCATTCATTATTTATTTGTTTGATCCTCTATTTATTCAATCATTTGTTAAATTTTTTTATCCACATGAACAGTTTCTGGTAAGGCGATGTATTTTCGATAGTTCAAAAAAATTTTCACTGATTACAGATAGATGAATGAATGAATGAATGAATGAATGAATGACCGATTAAAAGAGTGAATTGATGAATTAATAGATAGTTAGATGGATGAATAAAATGGTTCTAGCGACAAAAAAGGAATGATGAAAAATGAATGAATGAAGAAATGAACATTTTCTAATTTTGGCGTTTTCACTGTTGGATTGAACGAACGAATAAATGAATGAATGAATGGATGAATGAATGATGTTTTTAATTGGTATTTCCATTTAATCTTTTCTTTATTTGTACAGATTCCAAACGAAGATGTAATATGAAAAACTTTGGTTGAATGAATGAATGAATGAATGAATGAATGAATGAATGAATGAATGAATGAATGAATGAATGAATGAATGAATGAATGAATGAATGAATGAATGAATGAATGAATGAATGAATGAATGAATGAATGAATGAATGAATAGATGATTGAGGAAGTGAACAAAGGGATGGATAAAACCATGTATATGAACTCCTGATGCTACACATCTAAACACACGCACACACAGACATGTAAAAATTAATAAAATATTATTTTTTCTCCTAGAATCCTTTCAATTTCAACTCGGTAAATGGATCTACTTATTAATAACAATAAATATTTAAAATAATTCACCAACGAATTAGATAGATCATTTTCAACATCATTATTACCATCATTATCACAATCTGTTACAACATCAGATTATACCAGATTATACGCTGCTTCGAGTATTCATATGTAAGATCTAATTAGTTCTACAACTGTCAAGTTATCAGAAGTATTCAAGTCGTATCAAATTACTAACAGAGTAAAACGAACCGAGTCATAATTTTGGGGGTTCTTGATGGTGTCTTCTGATGATCTAATCTGCCTGTAATTAAATGTATTGGTAGTCCAAGCAGTATACAAACAGACTACTACAGTTTCGTAAAATTAAATTTTACAGTTGCCTGTGTTTGAGCAAAAATTGGTTCGTTCTTAGAGTCGGATGGATGAAAAATTATTTTCATCATTGGTTTTTGGGTTCTCACATCAGTGGTCCGTTTGATTACGATGTTTACTGATGAGATGACTTGTATTCATTGGTAGAGTAGCTCCATTGCATGCCATAAAATCTAAACTTGTTTCATCGGCGCCATGGTTTGACGACGAATGTAGCAAAAATTAAAAGACCTTGTCTGAAGTTGGAGAGATTATATAGGAATGACAAAACTTTGTTGAATAAAGGTGTTTAGAAGGCTTGGCTTATTAACAAAAGTGTTTTATATAACCTAGTGTTAAAAAACAATTATTGGAAGAATTTGGTTGAAAGTGATATAAAAGACAATACTTATAAAGCACAGCATATAAAAAGTTGGCACGTGGCAGTGGCAGCAGTTGTGGTTAGTATTGACGGTAATTCAATTGACTTTTGTACATCTGTGCAGCTCAATCCTGGTGTGATCACTTGCAAGGGATTGTTAACATCACATGGGCGGACTGAGGTTAGCTTGAAAATCATTAAATAAGAACATTTCACTTAGTCTAGCACGTGTGTTCGTACATTCAAAGCTGGATTATTGCCATGTTTTGTTCTGTGGCACTGCTAATAAGGTGACTAGCCAGCTGCAGTCAACACAGAATTGGGGCTGTAAAGATTGTAATGGGTGCATCAAAGTTTGAACACGTTACTCAAATTTTGCGTGGATTGCATTGGCCATCAGTTAAGAGAAGAGTTTTTTTTCCGAATTTCTGTTGTAGTTTATAAATGCAGAAATGGCCTGGCTCCCAAATACTTCCATGGAGAAATTGTTCAGAAAGATATTTCAATGCATCGACTTAGATTGCGTTCAGGTGATTCAGATCTGCTAAAGTTCTTCTCGCTAAATTGGAAATAGGGTCAAGAAATGTTGCTACAGTTGGATCGATGATTTGGAGTAGTCTGAAAATATTATAATTAGAGAGAGAATAAAATAAGTGAGTGAGAGAGAGAAAGGGGGTGTCTGAGAAAAAGGGTGAAAAAAAAGAGAAAGTGTTTGAGAGAGAGAGAGAAAAGAAAGTGTTTGAGAGTAAGGGTGAGAGTGAGAGAAAATTTACGTGACTCGGCTCTCTTCCTAGTGATGTTTCGAAGAGAACTGAAAGTTTATTTATTTTCTCTGGACATTCTATGACTTTAGTTACTGGCGTTTTTGAGGAAATTTGAAATAACGCCAAACGAACACCATCATTATTATCATCATCATCATCAAAATTATCATCATCATCATAGTTTTCATTATCTTCATCATTATCATCGTTGCTATTATTATTATAGTTATAACTATTATTATTGTTATAAGGTTTTGATTAGAAAAGCTTTTGAACTCTCACTAGATGGGGTTAATGATCACTATCATCATCATTTTCATAATAAATATAATTATATAGATAAATATTATTGTAATTATATCTCTTTAAATAATGATCTCTCTCTCTCTCCCTCTCTCTTCACTTTCGTCTTTCTTCTCTCTCTCTCTCTCTTTCTCTCTCTTTAAACTGTTTCTTTTTTTCTCTCACTCTTACCCTTACTCTCAAACACTTTCTTTTATTCTCTCTCTCTCTCTCTCTCTCAAACACTTTTTCTTTTTTTTCTCACCCTTTCTCTCAAACACTCCCTTTTTCTCTTTCACTCACTTATTTTATTCTCTCTCTAATTATAATATTTTCACTTCGAGTATTCATAATGACCAACTTATTTATTTCAGTACCTGTTGATACTGAGAGAGATTATGGTAAAATGAAGAGTAACATTAATAACATTGATAATTGTTGTTGTGTTATTATTATTATTATTGTTATTATTATCATTATTATTATTATTATTATTATCATTATTATTATTATCATTATTATTATCACTATTATTGGTGTGTTTGTAAGCGCCCTGTATTAAAAAAATGCATGGTCTATTTATTTCTGACAACAGTATGGGCTTTGTAAAGCCTATCGAACTTGCAACAGAGCCTTATTATTTTTATTAGTAGTGTTGTTACGTTATATTATAATTATTATTATAATAATAATAATTATTAATATTATTATAATTATTATTATTTTCATCAAGACTGAGGACAAAGTTCCCACCCAAACCCAAACGACCATAATTGAATTTATAGTGAGTTAGGATGATGATGATGAGAAGGATGCTGTGGTGGCAATGATGATAATGATGACGACGACGATGGTGATGATGATCGTAATGATGGTGATGGTGATGATGATGATGATCGTAATGATGGTGATGGTGATGATGATGACGGGGATGGTGAGGCTGATGGTGGTGTCACTTATAGAATAGACCAATCATATTGATTGCAACTCGCAGTGGCCTTCATCGCGAGGAAAGTAATTTTAGATAAATAAGAATAAGAATAAAAATAATAATAATAATAATAGTAATAATAATAATAAAAAGAATAATTTTTTTAAAATTTCCAGAGACAGCAGTCGAGTCGTTACATAATGGACAACAAATTCATTCAATTATTCTACGTAAGAATAATAATCTTTTATTGGTCAAAAAGATGAAATCAAAATGAAATCAATCGAAAATTATTAATAATATATTAATTAATTATTAATATAAGATTGTAAATAAATAAATGTAAATAATTTATAAATATTTATTAAAAGAAAAGAAAATCCATTAAAATGAACCATCCTCATATGCTCATTATCGTTAATAAGTGCAGAAGAGTAATTAAAACATATTTAAATAATTTTATAATAATAATAATAATGATAATTATAATAATAATTGTTTTATCATTATCATGATTGATTATTTTAAAAATTTTTGATAAAAAAA